TTCTTGAAACACCTTGTGAACAAAACAAAACGTGTGTAAAAGCCTCTATAGACCAGCATCTCTGGTCTATAGAGGGAGAGATGGGTGTACCAGGTCACAGTGTATCAAATAATGATTCTTGTGAAGGAAGAGACTCCACTCCATGTGATAAGGGTCTGCAGGTGGTTAACTTGGCAGAACTCCAAGCAGGGACTCACAGGCTTGGTGAGTCACTGGCAGTGCTGAAGCTAGCAGACTGTAGCCGGCTAACCAACAGCTCTGTGGGTGCTGCAGGTCTGCTCTGCTCCCCTCTTTGGGGGACTCACATTGATACCTGTGGGAAAGAGTTGGCACGAGTGGCAGCTGGTGTAAGTTGATGGGCTCCCTGGAGGCCCAGGAGGAAGAATGGGCAGGAGCAGCAAGTCCAGAGGTCCACACGAGGAGTGTCCAAGAAGGACACTATAGGAGTCTCTGCTAGAGGGCAAGGACCTCTGAGGACGAGGGGAGCTTTGGGTTTAGGGGGCAAGGACCTCTGAGGATGAGGGGAGCTTTGGGTTTAGGATTGCGGCAGAATGTAGGACTGGCAGGTCAGCTGGGTTTTAGTTATGGAAGTGCTCTAGCATCTGAAAATGCTAATTTAACCTTGGAGTTTGGTTTCAAAATTCAAACTATATCTTACATTTCCAGCTGTGTAGTAAAAAGTAATTGAAGAACATGTAGTCATTAAAATGAGACTTACAAAGATGAATTCACAGTAGCGTTAAAAATGTTTGTTGTGGGCCGGGGATTTAGCTTAGTGGTTCTGGCACCTGCTTCCTAAGCACAAGGACCCCAGTTCGATCCCCAGTACCCCTCACAAATGTTTGTAGTCTGGAGCTGGGCCAGACATCAGCCACAGCTGTAACAAGCATGCTTCCTTCAGACTCTCACGTCTGGTTATGAGATGCACAAATGTTGTTAACCATTCCTCATAAAGTGAAAGAAAAGCACTTTCATCTGATGCTTTCACTGCTCAGTGCCTTGTTCAGATTTCTTGTGGATCAGAGGAAGCCACTGAATTTCTCAATTAAGAAGTGGGAAAAGGGAAAACATGGCTTTTTTTTTTTTTTTTTTTTTTTTTTTTTTTTTTGCTTTCTCTGATTTTTTTTTTTTTTTTTCCTGAGACTGTCTCACTACATAGTTCAAGCTGGCCTCAAACTATGTGGCCCAGGATGCCCTCAAACTTGTGATCCTCCTGCCTCAGCCTTCCAAGTGCAGGGATTACAGGTGTGTGCCACCACGACTGCCAAAACAGGATTTAACAGTGATTACTCTGGGATACCATGAAGCTCCCCGGTGCCCTGCTGTGGCTCTTCCTCTAACTTCTGCTGCGCAGCAGGGATGAGGTTGTGTGGGTAAAAAAGCAGAATATGACTCATCAGCAAATCCCCTTATTTTTCTTAACTGCATAAAAAAAGTAATTGCAGGAGATGAATAGTGGAGTGGGTGACATTCTGGAAATCTACAAAAAGAGGGGTGGGGCAGAGGAATCTATCTATTGCTACTTGGCCCCAGCTGAAACAGAGATGGGTCTGCAGTCAAAGCCACTCTGGTCATTGTTTCTTCCCCACCCTGTTGGAGACTCTTTTCTTCCTGTGTTGGCCAGGATCTGCATGTCTTTCCACCAGCTCAGAGTACTATTCACCCTTCTCTTCTCTCAGAAGTTCACAATTATTTTAGGTTTTTGTTCACCATTCTTGTGCTAGAAACAAAGGAGCTAAACAAAAAAGGCTGAGCAAGCCAGTTCTCCTGGAAAAGAGGTCAAGGACAGAAGCTTGACGCTGGTTCTCAGCACCCCAAAGCAGCTCTGAGGGTAGGGAGGGCCGCTCCCCTGGGGAGCTGTGGCTTCTCCCCACTACCACAGGCCCGGCCGTCTTCACAGGGCAGCCACCTTCCAAAGGAGAGGAGAGGCACTGGCTAAACGGAGGCTCACGTGAAAGAAGATTTTGTAATAAAATTCAAAGTAACTTTATAAAACTCAAAAGTTCTGGGAGACAGCTAGGATGTCTTTCCTTCAGGACTCTTAGTGTCCCTGGGAATCAAATGACAAGGTAACTACTGGGGTAGTGGTACTGTCTCTTAAGTACGTAAATTATGGATTTTAAAAAGATCTATTGTAACATTAAAAAGTAATGTATACTGAGTCTAGGTCAAGGCTTTAACATTTTTTAAAGATAAACTCTAGAAAAAAAAATCTCTAAAATTCTATCATAAAAAAAAAAAAATCCAAAACCTGAAACTATGAGACTTCAAAGTATGATAGAATCAGGCTTTACATTTTTTTTTTTTTTTTTTTTTTTTTACTGGGGATTGAACTTGGATCCTTGCGCTTGCAAGGCAGGCCACCGAATGCTGAGCTAAATCTCCGGACCTACATTTTCTTGAAAATAAAATAAAAATCTAGTTAGTTCACTTTCACCCAATCCTAAAACCAGAAATTACCTATACACATGACCAACACTATATACCACAAAGTTTTGCACATGCTGTGTGATTAAGCATATTAAAATAAGACTGCACATGCCTCCAAGGAAAATCAGTTATCTCAGAGCCATGGAAATTCCAAGAATATGCTCTGAGGCTGGGATAAAAGCAAAAGCCCAGTGTGCCTGTCAGATGGTGACAAGAGTAATTCATTTCCTGAGTGATGACTGTAATGCGTTAGCACCCTACTTGCTTCTTAAAGGTGGCAAAGGTAACACTGGGAACCAGTGAGACCGCATGAGCCGCCTATGAGACGATGGCACTGCTGGCACTCTTTTTTCAGCACTTCTCCTGCTGAGGAGGGCAACGTCAGTCTATAGGAAAAGCCAGGGACAGAGGGAGCACAGTTCAGGGGCACGCAGGTACCAGACTTGGCTTAACTTGGTTGAATGACAGCTTTGAATCAGTATATACATGAGTTGTCACGATATTAAGTTCTGATGTTATAAATAGCAGGCAAATGTCTGTTGTCCATTTTCAAAGAGTTAGATTATGATCTCTGGGGCCACAGCTAAAAAGCTGTTTGGTAGAAATTCCATCTATACTGAGAATTCCTAATATTACTGCTTTATTTACACTGACTTGGTAATAAGAAATGTTAATAAAAGTACTACTGAGCTACTCTGACCATTCCCACTTCAGAGTCAGTGCCGTGGTGAGGACCTACACTCAAGGCCTGTTCTGCAGCTCTGGCCATTTCAGCCTCTGGGAAGGAAGTCAGGGTCCTGAGTTCTAAGGAGGACTACTGAGCACTCCTCAGCTGATCACAAGACATACTGTCTCCAATTCGGTGGTTGGCTTTTGAATTCTTATAGGTAGGAATCCTGCAGAAGAGACAGGAGAGTGTACTTTAGGCTATCAAATGTCACAATTGTATAAGGCCTTATCTTGAACCTTTGAAAGTTTTGTCACAAAAATCCTGGGAAGTAGGGATTATCAAGCTTGTGATATTAATGAAAACCCAGAGAGTAAACTTGACCACGCCATACAGGCAGGATATAGAACTTAGATGTGACTACTGATCTGTGCCCAAAGATCACACCTTTCTATCATGCTTTTAAAGTAGCGTTACACTTCAGATACACCTATAAAACATACATTAATGAAGGTACATGGCATGTTTATATATACATGAAGAGATCACATTTGTATGTGAAAAATGCCTTAACTTTCCTGGCTACAGCTGATTTACCCTAATCATTAAGTGATTTCTGATAAGATACTTATACAACTCAAATGCTATGGTTCCCTACAGCTGAGTGGCTTTTAAGCTTATAGATTCTAGTAATGACAAAATGAATAATGGTCACCTAAGCAAATGTCTTTACATGTAGAAATCATCACCTTGTATGTCCAGTGGAGCTGGATAAGCTCCATAATACAAAAAGTGTTTCTTTTAAAATTCTTCACATGAAGGGTTCTTCAGATCACATCACACTAAAGCTTGCATACAAAGTTGCAATGTACTCCATCCACAAGTAAAACATTGTAAAACTGAGGTCTTCTTCCACATCTCCATCTTATCACAGTATGCTTGAAACATGTTTAAGGAAAACACCAAGTTCTGGGCCCATGTTTAGTTACTTTCTCTGAGAGCAAAGCAATGTGCTACTCTGGGCAAGTGGTCAGCAAGGTTCCCAGGTGCAAGTGGAAACGAGGGAAGGGAATCTACTACCCCTCACCGAGGTGTCTTTCTCCCAACTCGGGGACAGTGAGAGCTTCGTGCTGCTGCTTGCTGCTCCTGTTCTCCCTTAGAATGTATTCACCACGGGTAGCAAATTCATGAGTGGCCTCTAGAACTACGATGTGGTAGTGGTAGACGATGTGTAGCTGTATTCTCCCACTAGCGGCCATGTGTAGCAGTGCCCCACCTCAGCTCCTGACCCTGGCACCTTAAGGGCACGGCCTCTGATCCTCCTGTAGACTGAACTTGGTTTTATTGAAAATGGCAGCTCCTAAGCATATCAATGAACTGATTGCTGGCAGCTAGCTGAGATGATGACTTTTCTTCAAATCTATGATTTTAGGGTATTTTGGTTGTAAAGATTTTTGTTTAATGTGAAAGTATAGACCCACTATTAAGTAAACATTTATCTGAAGGCACAGACTATCTTAAAATCTCAAATTCTCTCATCAATTACTCTATCAGGAATTAGTTCAGGCAATCTTGACATTTCATGGAGGACAGTTATTCATTCAATGTATAGAGAGCACTGACAATGATCTGTGTTCGAGGGGCTGGAAACACAGATGACATAAAGAAATCAGATGATACCACTGTAGTTTGATATACTATTTATTAAGTTATTAATATGAACAGTCTGTTCAGCAACGCTACAGATGCCTTTCAAAACCTAACAAAATATAGTCCACTATCCAGCCCAGGAGAAAGACAATAAACAAAATCACTCTCACAGTATAGCTTAAGCACTCACAATAGTCCCGTATTTGGATATCAAAGGAAACAGTCAAAAGACTGGGCTTTAGCTTTTTTTACGTTTTAGAGTCAAAACTCCAACTCAGATCACCTCCCAACATGATGTGTGGGATCTCACGCTGGAGAGGAAGGGGCTCCGGTGCCTTCTTGGTGGCCCATCCTCTTCCTCTTTAGTTCTTCCTCCCTGCCTGCTAGGCCAGCAGTGGTCAAACTTAGGTGCTCAGGGGATGGGTCCCAGGGACATCTGCCCAATTTACAAAGACTGTGTTCAAAGCTCTAAACACCCCTTTGTGGTGGTAGTGGTAGTGAGGAGGACACTGTATCTTGAGTCCTGGCTTTCTTCTAGTCTGTAGGATTAGCGCAGTTCTCAGTGGGAAAGTGTGGGTGAGAAACTCCAACAGTGATTCGTAGGAGGCTGTCTGCAGGATGTACTGCACTGGCTACTATGGCTTTTATAACCTGCCTTCCCTTCTTTAGTACTGGCAAGCTTATTTCTCCATCTTTCCTCCTGTACCCTACTAATGTAAGATGGAGATTATGAAAGAAGAAATTTCTTGCTTACAATCTGAATGAGAAAAATAAAAAAATCCATTTCCCAATTAACTATACTCAGTTAAAAACAAATGCCAAATGAGTTTTAAAGACAAGTGCTGCACAATGCTGATTAACAGATGAAGCAAGGTCTGAGGTGAAATCACACATAATAAAGAATCTAAAATATAGGGAAAGCCCCACACGCTTTTTAGCGTGATAGGGATTCTTTAACCCCATAGTTCTAATCAGACTGAAAACTACAAATGTTTTCAACATTGGGCTACCGATAGCCTGTCAATTAGATATAGAATCAGAAACCTCATGAAGTCTTGCGAAGTTTGTGGCAGCTTCGATAAGTTTATAACCTTAGGAAAAAGAAGGAGCCATAGGGTAAAGAGTGGGAGCGATGGAATTTCATTTAATGCTGGGTACCATGGGCTTGATATCAGTAGGCAGGACTAATGAACGAGCAGCCATAGTTGTTTTGGTCACCGTGTTTCCCAAGCACCAAAATGGAGCTGATTTTACTATTCGACTTTGTCTTTAAGTAACCTAGACAGATAGATCCTGCTGCATTCGGTTTCAATTTACCAGTACATTATTAAGTAGTTTACCATAGGTGAGGAGCAAGTCATTATGCAGTATCAAGTTTATGTCATCATAGGACTACCACATGCACATTCTACTTAATGTAGCTCAAGCAACAGGAATACAAGAGAACAGTTATGGGTAGAGACTTGTTTGGACAGTCATGTTCACACAAACTATGAGTTTAGAAAGCTTATCGGGTGGTATCTATAGCAGTTGGTACTGGAACATTACACGCATGCACAAGTGATGTGCTAGAAAATGGAGTAAAGAGGCGGCAGGACGGAAGACAGAGGGAGTCAGAGCTGGGAAGAGCGGTGTGTCAGGAAGGGCAGTTCTCAGCTTCCCACTGTAAGTCTCTGCTCTGTGAGAGAGGCCTGCTGGGAAACGCTTTTGTTCTCATGACTGCGAAGTTTGGATACAACATCTAGAAAGGCCAAATCCTGGACTTCTTTGTGTAGAGATTCTGGAAGACAGAAACAAGATAACAGGCTTATGTTAGGAAGTTCTAATCTTGTCTACCTACAACATACCCGAAATGTGTCTTTTGATGATACAGAGGTATAAAACTAAGAACAACCTAGAAAAAGTCATAGCAATAGTTCAATCATATCTTCATAAGAACTGTAATAAATCTGAGAAATTATACTTGTTAATTTTTAGAAAGATAAGTTCTACAGTCTAAGGTTCACAAATACATGACTTAACCATATCCCCAGTTCAAACATGGAGTCTAATCATTTACTGCAAAATTTTAGGACCTATTTCAAATTAATTTTGTGGAAAGTGAAAACTTTATACTTCACGTTTCAACTAATTTCTGTGACACTGGGCTCCCTTTCAGATTTCCTACTCTCTTCCTTCTCACTTTCTTGCTCCATTTAACCTTAATTATAGGAAAATATAGGACTCCTGCTAAGATTTTAAGAAACTATTATGAATAATGGGGTCCAATAGTATAACTAATCACAGCTCAAACTTGGATGTGATAGAAGGACATCTAAAACTGAACTTTGTTTTTTTTTTTGTTTTTTGAGACAGGGTCTCACTCTGTAGTGGAGACTGACCTGGACTCACTATGTAGCCCAGGCTGGTCTTGAACTCACAGCAATCCTCCTGCCTCAGCCTCCCAAGTGCTGGGATTACAGGTGTGTGCCACCACGCCTGGTGTATTAAAACTGAACATTTTTAATGGAAAGAGAAAAACAACACTGAATAAGAATAAAATAGTAGGTCTCACATTTCCTGATTTCAAAATCTACATAAAGCTGCAGTAATCAAAAGCATGTATCATTGGCATAAAAACATATATACAGACCAACAGAATGGAATAAGGAGCCCAGAAATCAGTCCTCACATTTGTGGTTGAAGATTTCAACAAAGCACCAGACCACTGGAAGTAGAAAGAACTATCTTTTCAACAAATGGGTTGAGGAAGCGGAATATGAATATGCAAAGAAATTAAACTGAACTCTTACACTACATATAAAAATAAATTCAAACTTCACGACAGTAGATTAAGCAATGATTTACTGGATATGACACCAAATGTACAAGCAACAGAAGAAAGAGTGGACTTCATCAAAATAAAAATTGTGTATCAAAGAACATTATTAACAGAATAACCAAGAAAACAAAAAAAACCTGAATTTAAAAAAATGGGCAAATGACTTGAGTGTACATTTTTCTATAAAAAGATTTACAAATGACCAGTGAGCACATGAAAAGGTCCCCAATATTACTAATCAAAATAAAATATGAACCAAAATCATAGTGAAATACGATTCCACATGCATTTAGATGGTTATCAGAAAAAAAGTAAATAACAAGTGGTGGTGAGGATGCTGAGAAATCAGAACCCACGTGCAATACTGCTAGAAATGTGACATGACTCAGCCAATGTGTAGTAGTTCCTTAAAAAATTAAATACAGAATCGCCATTTGATCCAGTAATTCCACTTCTGTGTAAATAAACAAAAAGAAACTGAAAGCAGGGGCTTAAAGAGATACTTTTATACCAGTGTTCACAGCAGCAATATTCATAAGCAAGCCAAAAAGACAGAAACAACTCAAATGTCCATGAATAAAATGTGATACACACATACAATGGAACATTAAGCCTTAAAAACGAAATGAAATTCTGACATGTGCTACATTACTCATGAGTCTTAAATATATATGCTGAGTGCAATAAGCCAAATACAGAAGGAGAAATACTTTATCATTCCATTTACATGAGGTGCCCAGAACAGTCAAAATTAACAGAAATTGAAAACAGAATTGTGGCAGCAAGACACAGGGTAGAGGTAAATGGGAAGTTATTGCTCAATGGATAGAGTTTCATTTGGGAAGTAGGAAAACAGTCTGGTGAATGTGGTAGTGATGGTTGCATGGCAACCTGAATGTCCTCAATGCCACTGCTGCACATCTAAAAATGGTTAAAAGAGGAGATGCTATATTTTGTGTATTTTGACTGCAATTAAAAAGTGTTTCAACAACTATGAAAATGTTCAAAATAAATGAAAAAACTAGAAAGTCTCAGCACGGGAACACAAGATACAAGGAAGAAGCAAATGGAAATCTTAGAACTCAAACAATAATTACTTTAGAATAATAAACTCAGGTTCAACACTGGAATGGAGGGGACAGAGGAAATAATCAGTAAGATTTAAGACAGAACAACAGAAATTATTCTGAACAACAGAGGGGGGAAAAACTAGGGAGAGGGAAAAAAGGGGGCTAAAGCCTGCAGGCCTATTGCTGCAGAGCTCACATTTGTGTCATCAGAGACCTAGAATGAGATGAGAAGTGGGCTAGACTAGAAAGCACCTGAAGGAAGAATGGTCAAAAGCTTCCCCACTTATAGATTCAAGAATCTGAGCAAACTTTAAATGATATCTGTTCCTCGTCAAAAATTAGGGCACATAGCAGTCAAAATTCTGAGAATTAAGGATGAAGATATGTCTGGAGAGAAAGAAATGGTATGTTACCCTCAGCAGGGGAAAAACCAAATAGGAACACAGTGGACTTCTTATCAAAAACCATGGATATCAGAAGAGGCCAGAGGAAAATGGCACAACATTTTTTCAAGAACAGAAAGAAAAGATCTGTGAAGCCAGAATCCTATTCAGGGAAGATACTTCAGGAATGAAGCAAAAGAAGACATTCGCAAAGGAGGGAAAATTAAGAGAATGTATAAAGTACACTCACCCAAAATAATGGCTACAGGGAATTCTCTAAATAGGTAGGGAACAATTTTTTTTTTTTTGGGTACTGGGGATTGATCTCGGAACTTTGCGCTTGCAAGGCAGGCAGCAGAATCACTGAGCTAAATCCCTGGCCCTGTGGAATGACTTTAAGTAATAAAAGCAAAAAAAAAAAAAAAAAAAAAAAAAAAAAAAGGGGAAAAAAAAAAAAAAAAAAAAAAAAAAAAAAAAAAAAAAAAAAAAAAGTGGGTAAATACAGTACTTTTCTTAAGAGTGTTTTAAATTCTGAGAGGTGAAACAAAAATTAGAACTGTCTAATTCAGTTTTAAATATAAAAAAGACCATGTAAATATGGGACAGTAGAGGAAGTAAAAACTTTCAAGCAACCCACAGAAATAAAAAGAAAACAGAGAAAGAAGAGAAAGAAGAATAGACTAGAAAAACATAATTGCGACCTAAATAATAACTTTATCAATCATTAAATTAAATGTAAATGGTCTAAAAACATCAAATAAAAGACCCCAACAGTGGATTATAAAACATGATTCTATTATATATTATCTATGAGATACTTTAACTCTATGTTATGTTGAAACTAAGGAGTGGAAGAAGGATGTAAATGGACTTCAACAGGAAGGAGTAGCTATATTAATATTAGATAAAGCAGACTTCAGAGCAAGGAAAATTAGCAGAGACAAAGATGGAAAAAGGGTTAAATCCACCAAGAAAGCAGAGCAATCCTAATGTTGCATGCACCTAACAACAGAGTGGAAAAACATGTGAAGAAAAACCTGACAGAAATAACACAAGTCTACAATTATAGCTGGAGGCAACACCCCTCTTTTCAACAGATGATAGTCAGAAAATCAGAAATTATAGGAAGCTCAACACCACTCCCAACCAACAGTGTCCAGTTGGCATTGTAATACAGCATTCTACGCAACAGCAAAATAAAGTCTTATAAAGCCCATGTACAGTACATATACCAATCATTTCTTGAACAAATTCCTTTCCTGACAGCATTATCATACAAAATCAGAATTTACTGTTTATATAAAACATTTTGAGGTTAGTGAAACTTACAATTATAATTTGCTTCTGCTTTTTTTTTTTGTGGAACCAGAGATTGAACTCAGGACCTTGCACTTGCCAGACAGGTGAGGCACCACTAAGCTACATCCCTAGCGCCATAAATTAATTTCTAATGCCTTTTAAAAGCAAAGTCAGCATTTAATATTACTTTTTAATATTTGGGCATCACATGATGAAGACACACTTACCAGATCCCATAAGAGCACAGGTCAGGACCATGGAATTGTATTTTATTTCAGGAGCAGTTCTCTCATCTGTTAGCAGTCTGTGTAAAATCTGTACAAGCTTAGCACTTTCTAGATCTTTTTCAGCTGTGCCTAGGATATGAAACAAAGCCTAAGTTATATTACTGTGGGTAAACCCAGTACCATCAGGCTAACCATTGCTTTCTAGAAACTTATGTAAAACCTTCTAAAAGAAACCAAAAGATAATGTCAAATTCACACCCTGAAAAAAAGACAACTAGATTTCAGTAGACATTTCAAGAGTTTAGGTTTAGCAACATCAAAACATTCTGTATACTATCTCCATCATCATGGCCAATCTTGTTTCATCCACTTACTCTCGTCAATCCCAAATTTTTGGAGGAAATCTTATATATAAAACATTTAATTTCTTCCACATATATTCCAGTATGTATTTTAACAATTGAGAACTCAGTGGAATTCCATTAAAATCCCACAAAGATTTTCCATTGAAAAGACAAGCTTAGTATTAAAATTTATATGGAAAACCACAGGTCTTAGCACACCTAAAACACTCTTAAGAAGAATGAAGTGGAAGAAAACTTTCTACCCAATACTAAGGCATACAATAACCAAATAGTTCTTACTGATGAAGAAACAGAGAAATACAGACATCAAAGAAACTGAAAAGAGAACACATAAATAGACCCATACATATACGCTCAACTCATTTTGACAATGGTACAACTCAATAAAGACAGCTTTTCAAAAAAACAGTGCTGGCTAGAACAATTAGACATCCAAGCTTGGATGTGCATCAACCCCACAAGAACTCTGATCATGAACCCTGCTCATCCAGATGTTAACTGAAAATGGATCATAAACTTACATATAAAATGCAAAACTATTTTAGAATGAAGAACTCCCAAGACTCAACTGTTAAAAGACAAATTAGAAAATGGGCAAAAGATATAAGGAGGGATTTCACCAAAGGATATATATGGCATATACGTGCATAAAAAGATGCTCAGTATCATTAGCCATTAAGGAAATGTAATTAAAACCACAAAAATATCACAAGGTAGCTGTTAGAACAGTTAAAAAAAACAGTGACAATATAAAATGCTGGTGAAGGAGAAAACTGGATCATTCATATAGTGTTGGTGGAATGTAAAGTAGCACACCCATTTTGGAAGAATTTGACAGTTTTTTAAAAAACTAAACATGTAGCTACCATATGACCCAGGAACTACATTCACACCATTTATCCAAAAAGATGATTGCTTATGTTCATACAAAGACCTGTTCTCAAATATTCATAGCAGCTTTTTAATTTTTAAAGCCCCAAACAGGAATCAGCCCAGATAGCGGCTGAACAAACCAGTACATACATACCATGGAATTCTATACAAAGGAATGAACACACAAAAAAATTAGATGACTCCAGGATTATGTAGCAGAAAAAAAGAGCTATTCCTCAAAAGTAACATAATCTATCATCTAATTTGTAGCCCTTTTTATTTTCGTTTTTGTTGGTACTGGGGATTGAACTTGGGTCCTTGCGCTTGAGAGGCAGGCAGCAGAACCACTGGGCTAAATCCCCAGCCCTTGTAGCCCTTTTTAAGTAACACCTTTAGAAATAAAAGGCAGATTAGAGGTTTCTGGGATAGAGGCAGAGTAGAAGATATGGGCTATGGATACAAAGGCCTCCTCTTTCAACTGCACATGAAACTGTTTTAAAGGGAAAAGTCTTTAAAATATGGTTTTAATACTATATGCAAATATTGATAGTGGTACTTTCTTTTTTGTTGTTGTTTTTTTTTGGTACCAGGGATTGAACTCGGGTTCTTGCGCTTGCAAAGCAGGCCACCGAACCACTGAGCTAAATCCCCAGCAGTGGTACTTCCTTAACAACGTCAAATATCTTATAAGGATACAAGACTGAGGAAATACAGTTTTCATAGCATGTTATGTATTATATCTTAGGCTTAACAAACCCAAGAAATACTAGGTAACAATAGAAATACGTTACAGTTTTATGGTTAAGGTGACCACAAAGAACCAAGCAACTGCTCAGCTATTAGGAAGCTGACGAAACTGCAATGTGTCTGGAAGATATTACTTAGGGAACAAAACCAGACTCATCCTACGTTTAGTAATCAAAGATATCTTTAAATGCTCCACCACTTTGAGCTGACAAGGCCATCTGCCCAGTTTGACATGACAGGGACTTCACTGACTCCAATCCCGTTTGAGACCTTTCCACTTGAAAGTGTCTGGACTTTTATATAGACTTCTATATCCACCTAGACCATGTGAGACTGCCAGGAACTCCAAAGTGTCCTTAACCACAGGAAAGAACTCCGTGAGAAGCATAAATGAATGTTCCTGAAGGCCTATATGTTATCTTTAAAATCTGAGCAATTTTATATCCCATATGCCTATAATTTTAAAAAGTAATTATGAATTTCTTAAAATTCTGAGCACTTTACAAAGATGAACACTAAATGTTTTTATACTAAAACTGGAGTAGACCTGACACTGGAGGAAGATACACCATGTTTGTGTGCATGCGTATGTCTCTTTTCTGAGACTGGAATGGGTGGGTCTGCTTGCCTCAGTGTGAGAAGTACAGATATAAATCATTAAAAGGAATTAAGAGATGATGAGTTAACAATACTCTCCCAGCTGACCTTGAACATCACAGAAGACACTGACTAAGTCCATAGTCTTCCTCTGAGTAAAGCAGCCATAGGCCTTAACTATGGGCGACATGGCTCTAATGCACTGTATCAGGGTTGGCTCCCGAGCCAGAGGTGGCTACCCATACAGTAGGTATACATGAACTAGCTTCTTGTGAGCATTCTGCCCACAGTGTGATGTATGCTGAAAGAAACTAATAGAACAATTTAGATTCTTCTTTTGGGGAGCCCTACACATCAAATATACAGAAGGTGAAAATTTAAAGTGACAGCATGCTACAAAGCAACAGAAACCACAGTGATAGAGAAGATTACCAGGAGAGAGAGAGAGAGAGAGAGGAGAGAGAGAGAGAGAGAGAGAGAGAGAAGAGAGAGAGTAACAAGGGGAGAGAGAGAGAGAGAGAGGAGAGAGAGAGAGAGAGAGAGAGAGAGAGCGCTCGAGTGAGCGAGCATGCGCAGAACCAGTAAGGGCAAAAGGAAAAAACTTTCAGTCACACAAAGAGTAGTGAACTTTATCTCAAGTGTTTTCCGTGAGGTCTGTTGAAAATATTTTCCATATTCTCTAAGTGGCTATAATCTGAGCTATTACTTATAAATTAAATCAGTCTTGAAGTGTTGCTGTAAAATGTTCCCAAAAGCACAACCAAAAGAAATAACTATGGTAACAACCTATATAAAATGATTTTCCAGATATTCAGATACAAATACCGACACACTGCCAAAATGCTTCCAGTCAAGGTTCTAACTTCACATTTGCTCTATGCTTCCTTCATCTGAGATAAAAACAGTACAAAATACATTTGTCATTGAAGTACTTACCCAATTCTAAAGCTGCTATTAATGCCAGAGCAACAAGGGCTTCATTCTGCATTATTACATGTTCACTAGTTGCCATGGTAACTAGGTGCTTGATGCCACCACTCTGTACAATGGTTTTAATTACATCCTAAAATAAATAAATATCACAGAATCATAAAATTTAATTCTAAACACAAAGAAACTGCAACATAATCAGTCAATTCATTATTAGGTTGAGTGGTTTTGTGATAGCGTCCAGTATGAATCATTACATTTTAACCATAACTTTTTTTCTTCACAGAAGGAAAGGAAAAAGCTTTTAGCTTTAAATAAATTCATCAAAAGATGACAACATACACTGCAAAAGTGAAAAAGACTATTGCAATTCATTTGGAGCACAAGAGAGGCCTAGAAGCTATCAAAGGCAAAGAAATAAAGCACCACTGCCTTGAATGTTGACCTACCTTAGGATCAACAAAAGAAAAGATTTGGAATTGAAAAAAGTTCTAAAATTTTAACAAAAGTGCCAGATGCTCTGGGTACAATTTTTATAAATAGTATATTTAAAAGTACCCTTTGCCCCTGATCTGCTCTGACAAACATGAGAACTGGACTGTACATCGAAGGTACTGAGCAGAACGTCAATCCAAATTCTCCTTCTACTCTGTTTCTCATGGTGATCAGAGCTGTCCTCCAAGCAGAGGAGACAATGAGCTTGGGGTAAATGAATTCCAGCACCAACAGTGACTTTACAAAAACCACTAAGCCTCTATTATCTCTGTAACTTCATCTGTGTTGCTGGATGATGTAAGTGTATAACTGATAAAGTCATTACACAGAGGCATATACAAGGTTATTTTGAAAAAGTTCATTGAAAAAAACAAAACAAAAAAACCCAGTCAAATATTTCCAGTAATGATTGTTTTTACTTTACTGAGGCTTTTTTTTTTGACATAGAACTCAGATTAAATATGATTTAGAGGGAATTCTCAAACTCAGAAAACTTTAATTTCTTTGCTAATTTTTGCTTTTAAAGTGAAGCTCTAAATATTTTAAGAAGTATCCTGTTTATGTTAGCTTCAACGATATAAAATTATAAATATAAATATTTTTGAAATTAAGTAAATATTTGAAAAAAGGTATTTTTATACTTCCATCTTATGTATATTTTAAGAATTATTGGGCCAGGGATTTAGCTCTGTGGTGTCGCTGCCGGCCTTGCAAGCAGAAGGCCCTAAATTCGGTCCCAGTACCTAAAAAAAAAGAATTATTTACAGCAACTATCTTTGCTTTGAGTCTAAACTTGTTTAGTGATCAAACATCTTAAATCAGTGGAGTCTAAGAATTGAGTGTTTATGATAACTGAGTTCTGGCATTTATTTATTTAATTTCCACTAAGTTTATTGGTAAATTTTAGGTATACAGTACAGTCACATTCATCATTAGGATTTTGTACCTTTACATGATGTATCTTGGTTCTTATTTTTTCCCCATTCCACTGCCTTCCCTACACCCCCTCCAACCTTCCCTATTTACAAAGACTTTTTTTCCATTTCTCTTATTTTTCCCCTTATTTCCTTCCCCCTACCCCTCCTACTTCCCCCACTCCTTTAGACATTGTCTTCCTATTTCACAATATCAATTATACATTTTGATCCTTCTTTACACTTTTAGTTTTTCACACCAGAGAAACTATTTGGTATTTACACATGTGTGTCCTATTTATTTCACTTAAGAGTATGGCTCAATGTGCAACCACTTAGCTATATATTTATATAAATTCTGGCATTATTAAGTCTTCTCATTAACCTCTTTCAGCAGGGCCAGGGATTTAGCTCAATGGTGCCACCACCTGCCTCGCAAGGGTAAGGACATGAGTTCGATCCCCATTACCAGACAAAACAAAAACAAACAAATAAAAAACAAGCAAACCTCTTTTAGAAAAGTGAGAAACTGTCTTTTAAACCCTTTTCTAACCTGACTTATTACCTGGTGACAGTCTATTTCAATCTGATACATAAAATTAAATTATAAGAAAATATATAAAATTAGTATTTTATAAAAATCACAAAATATCTTACTGAATAAAGAAGAACATAAGACATTATGGATGCACAGGGAAGGTCCCTGGACTGTCATTTCACCCTCCATTATTCAATTCACCCTGAAAGTCCACCGTAGCAGAAGCACAGGTAATGGGTGAAGTTTATATATCAGAAATGAACAGTTCCTCCTTCAAATCTAAGCATAGCTTGTTTTTCATTGCTATTCCCAGAACATACCTGAATATTTTCTCTTAAAATGCTTCTTCTCTACACATGGAAAAAAAATACATAAAAATAAAAAAATTACCATTTCTAGACCAATATGGCTGTACATTTCTGTACAATGCCAACTCAACACAGTAAATTGGGATGACTGTTAATTTTTTTATTTTTATTTTTATTTTTTTTCCATGTGTACAGGGGTAACACATCGTACTAAATATGTGAGGTCACATCTACGTTAAAGTATTCCCTAAATAATGAAAAAAATAAGATAAGACTACAAGAGCAAAAAACAATTTAAATATGTTCAGGGACCATTTTCATCTCCAGAATTAAGGATTATTTTAATGTTACAACATTGCCTTTTCTCTTTTACTTTCCTTTTTAGTTTTATTTTAGGATTCCCTATTTTTAATGTTCATACAGAGGTTTCTTTAACTGAAATACCGAATAGTTTCTTTGGGGTGAAAAACTATTAATAGTACACAGGATCCTAATGAGATAATTAATAATGTGAAATAGGAAGTAAAGGGCTAAAGGTGTAGGGAAAGTGGGAAGGGTGGGGGAAAGGTCATAAGGGAGAGGAAAAAAATATGAGAAACTGAAAAAATGGAAATAAAGTGTAAATGGGAAGGGGAGGAGGGGGTGAAGGGAGGGCAGAGACAAGGGGAAAAAAATGAGAATCAAGACCTATTATGTAAAGGTACAGGATCCCAGTAATGAATGTAACTGCACTGTATACCTAGATTGTACCAATTAAACTCAATAAAAAGAAAAAAAAATGCCTCTTCTCTCTCCAACTATTTCAATTTCTTTTATGAATATGGGACAAAAGAAAATATTGTACTTGTGTCATATGAGAGAGAAAAGAGTAATATTGATGGCTACCCTTCTGAGGACAATTTTATGCTGGATATTGTTATTAGAAAGCTTATAGATATTAGTTCACTTTTTTTTTGTTGCCGGGGATCGAACCCAAGACCTTGCACTTTCGAGGCAAACCTCATGAGCTAAGTATTGTCTCCAGTTTATGAATGAAGAACTTGAATCTCATATTATCTTACACCAAGGTTCAAATCCACAAAGTATGGTGACCAGGTCCTTGTTTTAATTAACTTGTAGCCAATGCAAAAGTATTGGCACTAAATTCATATTGTTTTGCAAAGGCAGTCAATGTGATTTGAAGAAGGCCTATGAATATATTTTAAAGTTATATTTTAACTTCAACATATTTTTTAAAAAGCAAAGATTAGCATGAGTTCACAGAGAAAGAACGTTCATCTGGTAAATTACAAGTAATTTAAATAAACTTCAGAAGTGAATCCAGGAATCATTTTAGCTTCTCTTAGACCATTCAATTTATAGTAAATAAGCTGTAGATATATATGTAGTGAAACACTTTTGTAGGATGTCCTACATGTGGATATGTCAGCAAAATCTCTAGAAAGCTGTATATGTTTTACAAAGTTTTTTTTTGTTTTTTGAGACAGGGTCTCACTATGTAGTTGAGACTGACCTGGACTCACTATGTAGCCCAGGCTGGTCTCTAACTCACAGCGATCCTCCTGCCTCAGCCTCCTGAGTGCTGGGATTACAGGCATGCGCCACCATGCCCGGCATGTTTTACAAAGTTTGAAACAAGTATTTTATGTTTCTATTCTTCAAGGAGTTTACTTACTGAAAACTGAGTTCTGGATAAAACCAAAGCTAATGACCTATGGTAATAATTTAGCATATATGGTCAACTTGTACCTGATCACTGAAACAAGCTTAGTTCAAGACTTTGTTAAAAGCTATGTAATATGTACTAAGGGGTGGATTACAACAGAATAAGCTGAGATAGTTATGGATTTGAGATCAATTAATTAAGACTGCAAGTTGGCATAACCACTGAGTCACCTAAAAATTTTTTTTCCCTATTATATCATCAAAGCCTCTCAGTATAGTATTTAAATATATGTTTCTTGGGTGAATGAACAAATAACTATGTTTAAGCAGGTCTTTAGCTTAATAACTAAAGAAGAATTTATATTCTAAAGAGTAAAGAAAAGTGCCAACTTCATAGGCAGAGATTTTACAGTCCTAGTGTAAAATTTTATTTCCTGTTTCTGCTATCTGCAGCTGCACACATCTGGTTAGCTAGCCAAGGACACTCTCAAGTGAAGCTATGGATTTATCTAATGGCATGTAACAGGAATATTCTGCATATGGGTGAGATGACTAAGGAGTGTGAAACCTTGTGAGTCAGTGCAGACTTTGAACAGCTGAATTTTAAAAAAGAATTCAGGGTGATTTTAAAAGGAATGTGATCTTCAAAGTGAGCTACAATCCTGCAAGCTGCGGGTTCCCTGTTCCATGAGGGGCTCATGTCTGACAGCTCAAGAGCCTGTTGGTCATGGAAGCATCAGTGGGGTAGGGGTACAGTGGCAGCCACCACAGAAACAATCTAAGGTAGCCAAAGTGCAAAATCTCAAGTTAAATGGGAGAAGTGGAGCACAAACACTGGAACACCAATGCTAAATGTAAGAATCTCTGAAATGTTTAGAGAAGTCCATGACTACTTGCTAAGGATCTTCTGGAACTGAGATCTTATGACCTTTCATACTCAAAATCTAAACTGCTAAACATCAAACCCCTAAAGATCAAGAGCAGTACCACAGGGCTGGAGGCAGATCCCCCAAGATGTGGCTTTCCAGGCAAGGAGCAGGCCTGGTGAAGGTGGGAGGTGAGCTGCCTACTCACCCACACAGCCCCTCACAAATACTGCATCAAATCTTGGCACATCCACCTTTAACAGGAGAAGTAAATGAAGTGATGGCGAGGTGAACCAGAAAGGTGTTGCTTTCACTCAGTAATCTGTAACAGCTGCTACCACAGCCAG